AAACACCATAGCAGAAATTTTGTTGTTCCATTTGAAATCAAATAGATCCTTAGTTGCTCCCACTAATCGGTCGAAAATCAACTGCATAGTGTTGCGAAGTGAAGATGAAAATATCAAATCAGGAACAAAGTCCAGAAAAGACCACACCGACGTAGACGGTTGTTCGAGTAGCGCCAAACTGAACTCATTTGTTGGGTAATCTGCAGAGAGGGCAAAAAATATATTAATTACACTATTAATTAAGGAAGGAACTAAACTCTCCTAAAAATAAGCATAAAGCAAGTAAAATAGCTGAATTATAATAAAATGACTACAACTGTCATTTTACATCATAACAAATAACCCATTAGATCAATATAGAGCAATTAATATTATAAACGGCATGCATTCTCACCTTAAATAACTGCAGAGAGTAGCTTCCTAAGGTCCACAGGTAGAATTAACAAGCCAAATCCAGGAGGAATATCACTGCAGACAAGTTGTTGTTTCAGTCGTTTCCAAAGTAATTTTCAAATGCCTCCCCTTCTCAGGTTCAAAATTATGTTGCAAGGGTAAGACATCAAAAGCATCGACTCTTTCAGTACCATCAGAATTAGCTGTAATTTCTTCTCACTTGGACAATCTATAAAAACGGACAAGAAAACGTGGTTAATTACAACTTTTAAAGAAAGTAAATCAGTAATATTTTAATGTGGCAATGTGGAGTTAAAGTTAGAAGCTAACTTTCGCGCTGATGAAAAGGCCAGTTCCATGTTTTGCTTCTGCCACTTCTAAAACGTTGTTTAAAAGTCGTTTGATGAAAGTAAGTTACAAATGCCTAAGAAATTGAAGTTTCTGGGACCAGGATTAATATTTTTAATTTATATGGTTTACTTACCAGTTCATTTGTCATAAATCCTTCCTTCAGCAATGCCACACTGTATTCGTTCGTAATCGAAAAAAAGGCACTTTTGTGATTCTTTTTAGGACAGCTACTTTCTGAACCGAATGAACGCAGACACAACTAAGGCACTGTAAATTAATGCTATCCAGGGTTTTTTTAATGTTCCTGTGAAATGAAATCTTATGAGTATTCAGATATAATTAATTTAGCCTCCTTAGTAAATAATGTGCATGACACAATACTAAAGTTAATATCAAATAAATATACTAATTATGACATGTATGCTCACCGTGATTAATTAGAAGATCCTCCAAAATGAAACGAACATGGCAGACAACTAGCTTTTTCGGTTGAATCAAAATGAACACTCTTCCATTCTTATTTATCATCAATCTGTAAAAATAGAGAAGAAAAATGAATAAACTAAATAATTAATCAATTAAAACATGAAATACAATGAAAATACGCACCGAATAGCATATAAAATTGCAAAATTTTAAAAATGGCGACGTAGCGTCGATTTCAATAAAAGATGGCAAGATGGACAAAAACGTAGAACATCGCAAAATGTAATAAATTCATAGATTCATAAATAATTGTCAATTTATGCTGCGGTTATATAGATGACTATGAAGGAAAAACCTATAGAGTAGATCAAAAAGCAATTCACCAAGTCAACATTAATTATTTTACGTCTGTTCTTACTATAAATGTTCTTCCTCACTTCTCTAGGATCTTTAATCGATGTTCTCTTTGAATCTTTGTTCTCTATGAACTCTCATGATAGACTCTAAACTCAATAAATGTAGTGGCGCTATAAGCGCTAATTTGATTTTTTCAGAAAAAAATTAGATAAACTGAAATTTTGTAATACATACAATTCTAACAAAATGGCGGGTAGTTCGAAATTCTATTAACAAAAAAAGCAATATGCTTCTTTCATAACGTCTGCTGTGAGTATAAATTCACGTGGTTTTCTTAATGACCGGGTTTTGTAAAGCAGACAAACCTAATGGATTTTAGTAAATAAAAAGAAAATTTTTGGAAACCACACAGTAAAATCCGGAAATTTGGATAGTATTTTTATATAGCTAAATGTTCATGTTATAAAATTTAAAAAATTTTG